AATAAATGATGCGGTTGCGAAAATTGTTAAACGGCTGTTGGCTGGTGTGTTGCGAGTATTGCCCTATGACGAGTTTTACGGAAAGGATTGAAAAAATTATTAATTTAAATACTTTACGTATTATACGAGGGTTATTTGAAGTGACTGACTTCTTGAATTAAATATATATTTTTCGGCGAAAAAGCGTTTTATTTCTCAAAACAGTCTCATTTCAGCTCGATACAGTCAGGCCAGCAATTTTTAAATTTTTTAATTCCTACCAAATAATAGGTCTTTCAAGGCCCTCAAAATTAGTGTTTGTTTCAGTGGTGACCTCTTCCTTTGACTCAAATCTCTTACCGCTCAGCTATTATGTTGGTTTTGGTAACAGGAAAAAGTCGGTGAGGGCTAAATCAGATGAATATGGTGGTTGGGGATGGAGTTCGTAGACCAATTGATGGTTTCTTCTATGGTGCCTACACACGTGCACTCTCTTGATGAAACGGCACCAAAATCTCTAAATAATATTCGCCAGTGATCGCTTTGTCCTTTTCAAGTTAATGGATGTGAATGACACCGTGTGCATTCCAAGGAACTGCTGCCATGACCTTATTGGCCGACAGACCCACTTTGGCCTTTTTTGCTGCACTTCAAGATTGTTCCTTGGTCTCTGGTGTTATATGATGGAACCATGTTTGACCAAAGGTTACGGAACGGTGCAAAAATCATTCAGATTGCGGTTGAACATCGCCAAACACTCATTTGAAGTGTCACACAGTTGCGTTTATGGCAGAGTGTGAGTAGGGACGTTCCGAGACTTAAATGAGTTTACTCAAATCGCTATTTCGATACTTCTTAAATGAGTAAACCGAATGTATCGATACCTACTTATATCGATAATTGTTCATCCTTTTATATGCAACAAAGCGAAAGTAATTTTCAGGCGTTATCTGTGACATATATTTTGCGACACTTCAGTGGAATATTTAGGCAGCCAGTTCGAAAACGCTCTATCACAGACAAATTTTCAATAGCGCCCTACTTCAGAATATGGTTGAAAAAAGCCATACCTCAGAAAACTTTTCAAGAACACTCTATTTCAGAATTCGGTTCACAAACGCTCTGTCTCAAATATTTTCAATCAATTTTCAGTTGAAGTAGGGCATTTGTGACCCAAATTCTGTAATAGGGCGTTCTTGAAAAGTTTTCTGAGATAGGGCGTTTTTCAACTGGCTACCGAGATTCCTCGATCTTCCACTCAGATGTCGATATGTATATTTGTTTATTAGTAATGCTAGAGGTTAAACGATTACTTAGACAAAAAATTCAACCTCTGAAAGGTTCCCACAAAACTTTACGGCTTCAAAGCATTGCTTGCACTTTGCTGGAATATCACTTACTTTGCAAATCTATATCCACTAGAGTGGTTTAAAAAATTTTTATTTTGGAAATTCAAAAACGCTACCTCAAATTATTGTTATTTGTGATAAAAAAAGAGAAACGGAGGTTTCTTTTTGAAAAGCGCGACCTCCAGCTGGTCGGTTTTTTTTTTATAAAAACGCTGATGTTCTCAATTTTTTTATTTTCTTGACATGTTGAAATTCAGGTAAAAATGTGGTTTTTGCATATAATCACTCTGGTATTATTGGGGAACATTTCCTTAATTACATACCTGTCTTGGGTAGTTAGAATGGGCCTAATACCCGAAAATATGCTCTCGAAAAGAGACTAGTAAAATTGAAACGTTGATACTGAACGATTTACGCGTTGTCATGGGTAGGGACTTGTTATCTGGGGGTTTCTGGGATTGCTAATTAGGAATCTGAAGTCAGTTTTTCAAAATTCAAAATGGCGGATCCAAAATGGCGATTAATTTTTTTTTTAATTATTGGATTTGTTTGAAAACCTGCAATCGAGGGTTTTTGGGTTCGCCGATTACGAATCTGAAGTCAATTTTTTTAAATTCAAAATGGCGGATCCAAAATGTCGACCAACTTTAAAAGATATTATTGGATTTGTTAAAGTCTTAACCGCCATGTTGAATTTTGAAAATCTGACAACAGATTCGTAATCAGCTACCCCAGAAACCCCTGGAAACAAGTTTCATCCCTTGAAAATGCATAAAACGTTCTGTATCAACGTTTTAATTTCAGTAATTTTTTTTTAATTTGATCTCCATATTGGATCCGCCATTTTGAATTTAAAAAAATTGACTTCAGATTCGTAATCGGCGACCTCAAAAACTTCCGTCAGCATGGAACCATCCGTGTAGAAACATAATTCCCCCCTTCTCCATATTCTTGCCACTATCTTCTTAACGGGATGTTCATTTAATAGAGTATGTCGGAGGTGGGTTTAGACGCGAAGTAGTCGACTTCGTGGTTATAACTACTCAGCGTGTGAGGTATGGAAGAGCGGTCAAACCGCCAATCCATCAATTGCGGCATACTATTTTCTCGAAGCACCGAATCGGTGGCTACGTGTTTTCCTACCAGATTTACTACAGCAGAATTGGTTAGCACTTCTAGCGCTTTCTTTGGGGTGATTCTCAAAGCACCAGAGATGCCCAAAAACGCTGTTCTTGGGACCTTACTCAAGAGTTTTAGGTCCACCATACAAATATTCAATATATCGCACACCGTCTTCAAAAGAGTCACAACTCAAAATAATACGTTCGTCAGAAAATGCGAAAAATTATTCCGTAGCACATGCTAATCATATGGGCAAAGGCGATTTTCCCTTAGGTTTTTTTTAAACAAATTATAACAAAAATTTACTCCATCTTTTGCTGAAAGGTAAATAAATGCTCTGTGTACATTTTTAGCGCATAATTTCAAAAATGCCAAATTTTGAGTAGTGACTCTTTTGAAGACGGTGTGCGATATGTAATAGTATAGGCCTAACTACGAAAGTGTAAATCCAATGTGTAATACGAGGTGTTAGTCCCCATTCGGTTCCGGCTGCTTGTTTGCATACACATGTGGATAATTTAACGTTGGCCCCATTCTTCCCTTTTGAAGATCGTGTGCGTTATGAGCCTTAGTTATTTAACATTCATGTTCGAAGGAATCTCCACACTCAAGACGGCACAACGGCGAAACCGTTTGTCTCCATATTAAATTTGACAAGAAATGATAGAAAATCGTTCCACAATACATACATAATGATTTTCCACTCACTTGAAAATTGCTGGGGATACTCTAGAGAGCCTAAGTTTCTTTGTAAAGTGAATTACTTCAGTTTTCTTGGGAATTATTTCGAGTTTCCTATTCCCTGTCGAGTTTCTAAGCGCGACCATATTAGAGCACAGAATGCTTTTAAAGGCAATTGCCCGGTCGTCAGCATAAGCAGTAGCGTAGAAACTCCTCTCTGTAGGGTAGGTAGCAAGGATTCCACAACCAAAATCCAGAGAAGAGAGAACCCTTTCCTGAGCGTTGCCTCTGACGACTTGTTTGCTTAGTTTGGTGTTGGGTAACCTAGCGGTTATCTTCCTTTTGATGGGTGTACTCTCAATCAGAGCAGCAACGTTAGTGTCAACACCAAAGTTAGACTAATGGATCTAAAGGCGTTGGGACTTAGGGCCTCTCTGCCTTGACTATGAAGGAGACTTTCATCTCTCTTCGGCCTAGCGAAATACTACCCATGTTAAGACAGCTTTTATAATGGCATGGCCGCAATGAACGGGGAGATACTAACCCGTGATTGCTGAAACTATGCCGAGTGAATGCCATTGAATCCCAGTGATTTGTAAGGACCAAAAGTTTTCCACTTTCACATTT